TCTGTGCTGATGGATTCTTTGTCATGTTATTATAGCAGTTGATAGATGATAATCAGTGTATGGATTCATAGAAGTGAGAATTTGACTTCAAATTTTTGACCTAGGGTTCATTCTCGATTCATTAGCTTCGCAGTCAGAGTTGTCGTTCTTGTCAACCATTTTTGGGGCTTTGCTTCTGCAAGTGTCTGCCGGCCTTGATTTTACAATTCTCGCGATTACGGAAAATTTGTTAGCTGTTTTTGTGGTGAGCATATTTCTGATAACAGCAGATAAATTTTATCGCCGGCGATCAATTTTTGCTTTTCGCAGTTGCTTATGGTCGGATAGTGGAAATCACATAGGTGATTTTCATTGCGCATTTCTCTTTTCATAATTGACCTTCAGCACCATGGGGACTGGCGGCTTGTAGTCATTGTTTCTTTACATTCTTACTCTGGAAACAGGTTTTCATAACAGCATTTTGTTTCAGGCCGTTCCAATGGAGATGAAATCTGCGTCCGAGAAAAGATGGACGATTAGTCTTCTGCGTCCGGGTACTTCGTCGCCTGTAAAATTGGCTGTTAACTCCAGTGACACCGTAGCACAGGTAATCAGCGCCTACAGTGAACAGCAGAAGGTGAAGAAGCCATTTCTGCTTGTCCTTCGGCAACTTGATTACTCCATGCTTGAACCGTCTCAGTCGTTAAAGAGTTGCGGTGTGAACAATGGCGACGAATTGGTCATTTGTGGAAAATGTACTGAAATCATGGACAGTCTGGTCAGAAAACACTTTTGTCATTGACTTTTTGTTTAGACGACGAAAGCTTCAATAGTTACAGTAGCACATGGTTCTTGATTGCGATCGCAGTTCTTCTTGGTGGCGGCTGCATCATCGCCATCAATGTGCTCAAATGCATGTCTGGTACGATCCCAGATCAGGTAATAGGCACATATTAGTGAATACATCTTAATCTAATATTATGTGCAAGCAGTTATCATTTGAACAGTTTTTATTGCATTCGCGAACATACCACTTTCTTCACTAAGGAACGCGGTGCTTCTCGTTACGTTTCGAATTTTTTCCCAAGAAGCGTCCATCTTGTTGAATTTTTTCAAAATTTGCATGTTATAGTTTTTCTGAGCATTTT